TAATATTGTTTCTTACATCTCCTCAAAATCTCAATTAATTTGTTCTTATATGACTTATATTTTTCTTCCGTCTTCTTTGATCTGTCCTTTATGAATTCCTTATATAACGCATTCTTCTTTTTACATGCATTCTGTAATCCCTTACTCATCCACGGTTTCCCACTGTAATTCCTTTTGTTTTTATACTGCTTACTGCTTGCTTGTTAATAAAGTGAGCACAAGTGATTGGCATTGCGCTAAGAAGAGATTTTATTTGGAGCACGTCAAAAAAATGGAGAACAAGAACACTGTAATAAGAAGAACAAAGCAGGGGAAATAACCGACGCTTTAGTCAGTTTATTAAACAGTCCGACTGTGATTCATACTGTTTTGGCAGATGAACCAATCAACTGATAAAGCACAGCTTCAGGAGAGTGGCGCTCACACTCCATTCTTCATTTTCTATAAGATTTTGTCCTCCTGTGTCGTTTCCTGCTGGTGTTCAGGAAACTGGAACAGGGCTCAGCTGATGAAAGACAGTGATTAAGGTTAACTCAGTCCAACAAGGTAAGTTTCCTGTCAACTCTGTTCTAACTAATGTCAGCTAAATGGTTACCTTGGTAACCAGCTGTGGCCTCGGTACTCCCAGCCAATCACAAAGCTGATTCCTGTGAACCCGTACTGTGGTCAGGTCACTTTCCCTGTAATCGACATCCCGCAAGACAATATTTCAAATACTCTACATTCTGACCATAAGATAATATTCAAGAAATAAATCCAGTGTGACCACTAACCAATTAACATCGCTTAGCAGGGTCATGGCGTCATCTAGCACCTCTGAATCAATGACATCATCATAGGTTAGCAGCATCTCGTACATCTGGCTGGCCGTCGTCTTTCTTATCTACAGTTGTAAGAAAGGAAGAGTTTTTTTTGTAGCTGTTGTTGTCTACAGCCATGCACACAATGACAAGGCAAAATTCTGTTAAGCAGTAATGTTTACTATGTTTACCATCTTGTTTAATGCTAACATTTACTAAGTACAGCAAAGGCTGATTGGAATGTTGTTTGTTTTGCAGCTATGTGGTCACAAACCAAAACACTGGACAAATTAAAATTTTGCTCTGATGATGGCACAAAAAACAAAGTCAAGTTATTACGACTGATCCAAGAGGGAGCAATCCATTCACTTATTGCTGAGCCACTTCACTTAAAACTACAAATGTCAACCTGCTTGAGGCGTGAGAAGAAAAGCTGGATTCACTGTCGGAGAATCATTAATGGCAACTCATGTAAAACTTGAGATATTTCAGTCTGGACCACTGACTGTATATACAATGGACCGCTACCCTTAGCTATGCCAAAGCCGAAACATTGTGAACACGGCAGCTGCCATCTTGCTTTGTTGCAGCCCAGTTCTGTGCAGTAGCAACCAGAAGTGGAATGACAGCATCAGACCGCCATTCAAAGCTGTCAAATCAGGTAAAATACACCCCTGGTTATAAAATCAAATAACCTATTAAAAACAAATATACCAGAAAAATTGCCACTTGTACACACATCTACCAAAAACTCTGGGAAAAGGTAATTTGAATTGTAATTTGAGTTCTTATTGTGGCATGTCCACTGAAATGCGAAGGCATCTATGACCTATACTGCAACCAGCCACCAGGGGGCGATCAATTCGTGGTGGCTTCACTTCTGGGAGCCATAATGATGCCTATGGTTTATACAGTCAATGGTCTGGACCAAAGCGGTGGATTAACCAACCAACAATGCTATTCCCAGAGTCATGTCACTAGCGTGGATAATAACTATACAGTACAATAATATTACTGACAAATTTAGCAGACATTTTACTGGCATGTGGAGAGCTGAAATCTGTACTGTGGGTGAATGTGCCAGTGTTGTGAACTCACCACAGGGAAAGGGTTGCAGAGTAGCATAAGCAGCTGGGATAAAACTTGTTTCCTCACCTCACCCTGGAACTGGATCAGCCCACAGAAGCTGGGAGGCAACAGTGAGCACAGTCAACATGGGTGGTTCAGCCTTAGTACAATATATTATGTGTATGTTTGTTGAATAAATGAAGATTTACACAGCTATACAAGCACGCAGCTTGGAAATATCTCTGGACTTCTTGAACTCTTTGCAAAGATCCAAAAGATCCACACAGAACTGATGACTTAAAAAACAAAGACAGAACAACTTTAGCTCTCACAAATATCATCAAAATTTTCTTTTAAACAAACTGTTCAAAGTACTCACTTCTCTTGTGTGGTGAAACTTTCAAAGCAGCTGTTGGCGAGGATCTGATTGAGCATCTTAAGAAAAGGAACAACCACCCTAAAGAAAAGAAAAGCAAATGCTGCTGAGAATATATTACGCCATGATTATGTTCAACTAAAGAACAAGGTTCAGACAATAATAAACAGATGTCAGTAAATATAGGTCTGTGGATTTTAAGTCATTTTAATCAAACAAGACACACACATCATTCCACAGCAAGGATATAAAGTGCCAGAAGTATTATACTGTATCTAGCAATGCTAAGAAAGAAGTGTGCACCTGTCGTTGCGGAGATTGTCTCTGAAGATGCTCAGCAATGTATCTCCAAACTGTGTCAGAGCAGTATTGTTATTCTGGATCCCTTTCAAATAGTCAAACAGAGACTGGGAAGAAAAATGCACCTGAATGGAAGCAGCAGAAAGCAGTGGTAGATCAAAAAACAGAAAGCATTGTGGTGAGGTTGGGTGCTAGCTATGAGTATAACTGTCTAAAAATAATAAATAAAACTTTTATTCCATTAGTACAATGAGACTTGCTTTGTTTTATACTTCACAGTACACTGGCACTGCCATGTTGTGAAATTCTGTCCTGTTCAGCAAATAACTGATAATAACACAACACATGACTGTAACAAAATTACTGAATGTTTAACAGTGAATGAGTGTGAACCTCACAAAACAAACTGTCAATGGATGTCATCAGGCTGAAGGAAAGAAAGTGTTGAACTGTGACATTTGCAACATAGCAACAAAATGTGCTATAGATCAAGTTACATACCCTTGAATACAAACTAATTTGTCTTTTAATGGTTAAAGGTTCTTTCAAGCCTCTAGAACCAAAAGATTTTAAACATAAATACTGTGGCGCACTCGTGTCCTGAAACCTTTGGTTGGTACAGAAGTCAGTGAAATTGGGGCTCATGACACTTTCTGCTGTTTGGCTTTTGCACAGCCATACTAAATGCTCTCTTTACACTGAGACTGGCCATCAAGGCAGTTCTTGGAAAGTTATGCTCCATCTCTCTCTGGCCTGCGTGAATATGGGCCTGTGGTGTGGGAATGGTAATCTTGGCCCGTGTATCGATGCAGTCTTGGCACAGTGTCCTGCATGCAACCCTGTGTAAACATATCAGTACTTCCCGCCTCTGAGGACATATATGTGGCAGAGAGAGGCTGGAAGAGGAGGCAAAAGCAAGATGAGAGCCAGATTGTCTCTAAGTTCATGCTGACTGACCCCACTGCTGAACATTCTGTTCTTTATCAAATCTACAGACACACAAAGTTAAAAATAACCTAACCATCATTTTTAATTGACTGGCTTTAACAGGTGAGGTCATACTGGAGGAGAGGCCCCAGCTGAGCTTCCCAGGTGATGCTGAACTTGGAATCAGGAGTGGAAAGTAGCAGGCAGATTTTAAGCTGCTATTATGCAATGCACAGCAAAGATTAAATTACAATGATTATCGGCAGCCAGTGCCACATAGAACCCATCAGACCAATTGGTTCTGAAACTAAAGTTTGAATGAACGCTTGATGATCGGGTGGTTGCCACAATGTTGAAAGCAGGGACAGGGTGGATATAAACCAAAATAACAGCCTGGTGGTATCTGTGAGTTTAAAAAATTCCTTGAAAGTAAGGTATTCTAGATAAAGTTAAGGTGCAAAGGACTGAGTAGACTACATTAGACACATGGCTCCCCCTGTTGGTCTACATTCCTCCTAAATTATTACAACCATTTTGTCTTACTGATGATACATTTTCTTAAAATGTGTTACACATCTACACATCATATTTCTCTGAAGTAAAACTGTTCTGCGCCTCCCATCACAGTTGACCTACTGTGGACTCTGTAATGTCTCCCACGGACACAGTGAGCCCCAGCAGGGTGTGGTACTGATACTGAGTCAGTCCCAGCAGCTGGGTGATATACTGGAAAGCTTGGGATGAAGCATTCCAGTTCAGACTAGTTGTGGTTTCACTGAAAGACACAGCATGTGGATGTAAGTATTCATAAATAATGCAAGCTATAGTATATAAATTGTTTCAACTGAACCTTTTATATTTTATGTATATTTGCTAAAAAGACAACAGAATTTGGCATAAAAGCCTTTTTAAAATCATTGCGAATGCTACAGATTGTAATGCTGCTGGATGAGCAGCAAGTTGTGGGCAGGAGCAACTCACACTGGAAAAATGCTCAACAGCTCTTCTTGGTGGGGGATGTGCGGTACTGCAGGCTCTGTGCTGTGGAGGAGGCGCAGGAAAGTGTTACCAGCACAGGCCCTGTAGCGGTCAATTTTCTCTGCTGCCAGCTGGGCCAGGCAACACATCATACTCTTCACCCTGTAACAGAATAGTAAGAGAGAGAAAAAAAAGACTGTAAATTTAATCAGCTGGGGTTCTGGTGACAAATATGTGTGGTGACTTACATTATATTGTGTTCTTTTTGTATTTTTATTTGCTTCCTTCACTTGCTGCTTTAAAGTGCCTTAGATTTGTGATTTTAGTGCCTATTTAGATTTGTGTTATTGCTCATCTACTTTATATTTCACTTGTTTTATGTTTCATTTATGTGGACGGCAAAGTAAGAACTTCATTGTACAGGGAAACATGTTTCCTAACTGTGCATATGACAAATAAACACTTTGACCTCTGACCTTTGACTTACAAGTCACAGCATTGATCAGTATTATACAAGAAGCACTGGGTATGAATTCTACTGTGACGTGTCTTTGTTAGATGTGGGCTATTAAAACACGTTATATAATGTTTTGATCCTGACACTTTGTTACAATATAAAAACCTATCAAGGTTAATAAAACTGTACCAAGAGTTTGTGTTAATCTGGGTTTTTGCAATCTTACTCACATTTCTGGTGAAAGAATCTCTGGAGCACTGCTGGCGACCAGCATAGTCACATCCATCAGACTGGCCATTGCTGCTTCCCTCACCCTGGGCAAAGTGAGAGAGAGTAAAGACTTTACTGTATACCTGCAATGACATGGGCTTGAATACAATCAATCAAAAATGTATTTATATAGCACATTAAACACAACCAACATTGACCAAAGTGCTTCACATGAAGTCAATAAAGAAAAAACGAGAGTCAAGAATATAGACCAACACCGATAAAAGATAAAAGATGTCAAAGCTCTACTCGGTATAAAATGCCAAAGTGAATAAGTCCTGAGCTTTGTTTCAAAAAGTTCCTGGTCAGAAATGGATTTGATGTCTGGCGGTAAAGCATTCCACAATTTGGGAGCAGCCACCACAAAAGCCCTGTCACCATTTGCACCTCACTCTGGAGACATCCAAAAGAAATTGGTTGAAGGACCTGAGATCTCTACAGAGTTTACAGGCAACCAATAGTTTAGCTAAATAGGATGGAGCTTTAACAATTAAAGGCATTAAAAACAAACAACAAAAGTTTAAAATCAATCCTAAAATGCACCAGAAGGGGTAATATGATCATATTGCCTGTATAAGTAACTGGACTAACTGAAGGCAAGGAAGTAATGACTGGTTTACACCAACACCACAAGTGTTAAACTGTCCAACCTAAAGGCATGAACTGCTCTGTGATAAGAAAGGTTTCACCTTTCTGCACTGACTGACCAGGGTAATCATGCTCTTGACAATCTATTGTGAAGTAGAAAGTTATTGAAAATAATAATTTGAAACACGTGACAAACGATGCATACTTACAAACACAAACATAAGGTGGCACAAGGAGACAGCTGGCAGTTTTATAGTCGTTCATGGCTGCAGGACATGATTTGTTTATGTGAAATGCGAATTAGCACATTAAGTCACACCTTGAAGCAGGTGCACAGATGACCTGTGATTGTGGGCCTCTTGGCAAACACTTTAGAAGAGATGAGGATATGCACACATGTAGAAAAACAGATTCAAGAGAAAGACTGAAAAAGATCACTACACAGTATGAAAGAAGCAGCCCATCCCATGTTCTGAGGACAAGTGACAAGCTTGGTGACATTCCTGGGGTATCAGCAAGCATGGCTTAAGGCTACCAGTGAGACAAGCATGCCTATCATGCTCCTAAGCGGAAGGACAGAAAAGCCTCAGAAGCCTCAGGCAGGGGAACATTCCTAATCCCTGAGGCAAATTAAAATAATATCTACATTTGTGTGCTGTGTGTGTACTGACAAACAATATACTGCATGTGCTGAAGAGGAAGTTAACTCACCAGGCCCCAACGTCCCCTCTGCTGTCTTTTGTGTAGTCGTTCATGCTTTTGAGCAGGGTGCCGTACACCTCAGCTATGTTCTCTGAGCACAAAGTAGAGTCCGGGGAGCCTTGGGCACAAGCACCTGCCTTTACACACACTCTGAGGGAGAAAGATAGCGAATGGGCAAACAAGGAACAAACTGAAGAAAGAAATGTGATTAGAATTTTTGAGTAAAATAAACTATTAGAGAAACAAATGGACAGACATGTCTTTCAGGTCCTGCAAGTGTAGTAAGTTGTTTATTTTAACATTTCAGCCTACACAGCTATGCAGTTAAACTTGCAGACAGGCAACAGGCAAGACAAAGAACAGAGGAAAATGGAAGTGCCTTCGTGACACAAGCCTGAGACATTAAAAATAAATGAAATATGAATACAGGAAAGAAACAGACGCAGAAGGTGTCAAATCTGTATGAACACTCACTGGGCAACTGCTCGGACTGCATCTCTCCTGGCCTCTGTAAAACTCCCTTCTTTCTGGCTGACAGTGCACATCTGCTGGAGGCCTTCTAAGATCTAACACAAACACACACCACCACCAGAAGCTTATACCCAAGTTCTGAGACACTTAGATGTCAAATGGGTTAAAGAAATGTACACATACTTGAAACACACCTGCTTCATTTTGGTATGGATCATAAATCTTGGCAGACAGCCGAGAGCAAGGGCAGATCCACTACGAGTGAGTAACTGTGGACTCTTCAGACCTTCGATATACTGAGACACCAAGACCTCTACATGGGAGCACACACACACACACACACACACACACACACCATGCACTGATTAGTTTCCAATTTAGACATACATTGTACTAATGGAACTAGGAAACTGCACTCAACTTGCCTTGTATTTGTGCATCAGCCTGGCCTGGCTGGGTCTGGTAGTACTCCTCACACAAGGCGCACAAGGCTGACACCACTGCAACCTGCAAACAGGATCAGTGACTATTAACAAAAACACAGTCTTTCTGACTGAAGAGCAGTATTTCACAAACAAGGAGAGTCTTAAATGCATTTTGAATTTAACACACATTGTGTAGCTCTGTATTAAGCTCTTAACTTAATTTAACTAGTATTTAACTAGCAAATGAAAAGGAACATTTGCATTCTCTTTGATCCACAACGCTACCTCAGTTTAAAAAGAGAAAAGATGACAGAGATAACAGAAAAGATGACATCCAAAAGTAAACTAAAAACAATGTTTTTAAAAGGAAGGGAACAACGAAGTCTAATGGAAGGATTGGAATAAAAAAATGGGGAGGGGAGATATATATATTTATGTGTGTGTGTGTGTGTATCGATGAGAAAGAAAGAAGAAAAGGTAGGTTTAGGGATACGAATGGAAAGGTAAGAACCCATACTGTTGGCGGCATGGTGAAGCAGTGGTTAATAGCAGGAAGGTTCTGGGTTCGAGCCCTGGGGCCTTTCTCTAGAGTCTGCATGTTCTCCCTGTGCCTGTGGGGGTTCTCTCCAGGTACTCCGGCTTCCTCCCACAGTCCAAGGACATGCAGCTTAGGTTGACTGGCGACTCTAAATTGCCTGTAGGAGTGCGTGTGGGTGTCTGTCTCGGGTTGTCTGTCAGCCCTGTGATAGACTGTATGAAAGAAGTTGTTATGTAGCCCTGACTAGTTCTGACTTGTCAGAATAGATCTTTTATAGACCTTAATATACAGACTAATAAGAAATAGATTACTATTAACAGTACAGAGCTTGTTTGTGCTCGTCGTCTCTGCTTGTATTTGCATATGTTCTGTATGAATTAATATTTTATGTGGAGTGTGTTTGTGACGATGCAAGTTGGTATGTGTTGTACTATCTTACTTTTTTTGTGTTTGTCTAGTTATGATTTTCAATGATTTAAAAAAAACTGAGCTTACCATAATGGCATCCTTAGCTCCATGAGAAACGAGATGAAGAGTTTTTATGGTGTCATCAATAAGCCACTGCCAGCCGTCTGAAATACAGTGTCACAACAGTACAAACCTTTGGCTCTGATGCAGAATTGGATCTAATGATAATAACAATGATAGCAACTTTTAAAAATATTTCACTTACTGATGACAGGGTCGTTCTTAAAAGGCATTTTGGAGATGGACAGCTTTTCTATGAGACTACACACTGTCAAAAAGAACGCAACCAATTATTATCTACAGTACTGTGTTATAGGAAAACAGCAACGGCCTTAATGTCTTCCATCATGTTTCTTGCAACAATTCATGCATTTTCTTATATACTTACTTGCTGGCCTCATTAGTTCTCCACCAAAACCCCTATATAAAAACATCATTTTAATATGAAGCCAAAACAACATTTAGATTTTTTTACCACACTATTTGAAAGCTCAATTTATTCAGGCTGCCTACCGGTACTGTTTCCTGTCATGTAGCTGAAAGTGTATCAACAAATGAAAATCAGCAACAGGAGGACACAGTCCACAGTTTATTCAGTCTGAATAAACAGTATGTTTCAGTTCCTTAAGGTTCACGTACCGTCTGGTGGATGTTTTTTAATGCATCCACACATTCTGAAGATATTATGTCCACCACAGGCCTGCAGAACAAATACAGGGGGACAAAACATTTATTAATATTCTGAACAATAATGCAAAGAACTGAGCAGAAAACAGAATGACTTATTAGCCAAGGGCTCCCTTCTTACTATTGAACTGAATTTGTTATTAAAATGGCTGTAATCCAGCCAAAACACAGAATGCAGGAAACCTGAGCACAGAAGGAGGGAAAAGTCACCTACAGATTCACTAGGAAATCACATTTACAACTAAGGCAGGACAAGTCTCTTCTCTATCATCTTCTATCATTAGCAGGATATCGTCAGCTCATTAATAAGCCACTCTGTAATCTAAACTGAAACGCTGCTTCCTGTGCCTTTCACTGATTGCTTTCTCTGCTGCCCTTTTTCTACACTGCAACTGCATTGTAACTCTATATCAGGTCTTGTACTATATTTGTTTGTTTGTATTAGAAATGGGCATTTCAAGATAAAATGCTAATTGATATTCGCTGGGAACTC